TAAAAGCCGCGTTCCCTTCGCCGATCACAACACACGAAAATGGACCCATCTTGAATGGAATCGGGATGTTCTGTCTTCTGTGAGAGTATAATTTCCTTGCGTTTATTTGCTTGCCTCTTCGTTTTTCATCAAATATGTCCTGCCAAGAAAGCGGACAAAAATCTTTCTGCTGTATGGCAGACTTTTTCTTGATTTGTTGCCAGTGAGGTCAGTACGCTGCGCTCTACACGTTAGGTTGGAATAATTTCCTCTCGTTTCCATATCTGCTTAGGATTTGTGGGTACAAAAATAATATGCAATCATGGTGTCAACGTCACAGATCCATGGTCGACACATCCACTTCTTTTTCTTACAGTATAGACAAATTCACAACTTTAATTTAACACTTTACAACAAACGATGACCAGTATGAATAGGAGTAAATGTCACTGCGACCAAGAGACTTGATTTTTCTTTCCAAAATACCCTTAACTACCGGACACTCCGCGAGTCGTCACTCATTTTCTCGCGTAATGCCTTCCACACCAGGAACCCTTCTGGTCAGGCTGTGTCTGCCCGCGTCATCTCAGCTCGAATCTAGTTTGGGCAATCCTCTATGTGATCAAAGAGACCGCCGTATTTATCTGCTCCTCATCCCTCGGCGGGCACGAACGGTCCATTAGAGTGAGGTAAACTCCCGGAAATTTATATCTTAGCAGGGAGATACTTAAGGAGCGTTGTTTTCAACACCTTATGCCATCACGCTGTTTGTTCAAACTCGATACTCAAAGCTTGAAGCTGCCGTTATTTTAGGGATGTCAGGGTAAAAATAGACTCGGAATGAGACTTTCTAGGTACATGAATTGCACGATTCAAGGATTATTTGCCATATCATCAAGGGCCTCGTCCATCCGTTCATCCAGTTGTCCTTCCACCCAGGAATCTTTGTCAACGTACTCGATTCTCAACTCGTGGTTTAACTTGTTGTAACTTGATAACTTCATTATATCTACCCTGTCCACTATCCTTCCACCAATCAAGTTTTAAATGGACGACTGGATAGTGGTTTCAAACTCACAAATACTTTTAACTCACTGAGGACACTCATTATATACTGACCGGCATAAATAACGCGAAAAAGTAACAACGTGTGTAGAAAAACCCCCTGGGTATTTTCGTGAGTTATTTTCATTTGCCTCTATTCACAATGTGTTCTTGTTATTGCATTGGCTCGATTAAAAAAAACCCAACTCGCTCTTTTGCCGCTTATGTATGAAACAATGTAACAAAGCAACCCTCTCAATGGTACGCAATTAAATTGAATTGAATCGGGAATTTTTTCTCACATGTCAAGTTAGTCTGGCCTATAAATTCTCTGCCCAAAAATATTTGATTGGGTGTTGCATAGTCCGACTATCAAAATGCCAAGATTATCTGCGAAAAATCGAAAAGAGCTATTGGATGTCTGCAAGCCGGCGAGAGCTCCCAGCAGGTGGGAACAGTCCTGGGAGAGCATGCCAGCACTATATACCGCCTGCAAAACAGATTTCAGGCAACCAACTCTACGAGAGATCTCCAAAGAAGCGGAAGACCTCGACTGACAACAGCTGCCAAAGACCGCTTCGTCGTGCGTCAGCATCGCCGAGATCCACGGTTGTCTGCCTCTGAGACAACCCAGAACACCATAGGAACGCACGGTAGAGCCGTGTGAGTGACCGCACCATACGCCGCCGACTTGTGGCCAGGGGGCTGCGTTGTCGGCGTCCGGAGCAGAGAGCACCCCTGAGCGTCCACCATCGACGATCTCGTCTCCAGTGGACTCAGAACCACGTTAACTGGCGTCATCGACAGTGGCAGCCCGTGATCTCCAGCGAAGAGAGTCGCTTCTGCATAGACCCTGAAAATAGACGGGTCCGAATTTGGCGCTGCCCCGGACAACACTACTCCAACGAGAACATCTGGGAGAGAGACCCGTGGGGAGGCCAAAGCGTGTTGATATGGGGCACAATCGGTATCAATCAAATACTGGGCCCTAAAATCTTCCAAAATTTAGAACCTTAACGTGGCAACGGAGTGACGGCATGGGGGCTACATCAACCAAGTCCTGCAGCCCCATGTTGCTCCATTATTCCAGAGACATCAAAATCACCTCTTTCAGCAGGATAACGCCCGACCTCATGCAGCGCGTGCTACCCAGCAGTTCCTGGTGCAGAACACCATACCCACAATTCCTCACCCATCCCGATCACTAGATGTGAACCCAATAGAACACGTTTGGTACATCCTTCAGAGGCGTCTCAACCAACTCCAGCCCAGACCCCAGACAGCTGCACCACTGGGTGCTGCTATTTTTCAGGGGTGGGTGTAGGTCCACAACTGCCAAATCGATCGCTTAGTCCACTCTATGCACCACCGATGCACTGCTGTCATCAACGCTAATGGGGGCCATACCAGATACTGACTGAAACTTAAGCCCCAAGGTCAAGGTCATTGATGCCAAATAACAAAATCTGTCTCCAAGCAAATCCCCAACTCTCAAGCATTGTTTTGTGCAATTTGAGACACCCCAAACCTGTTTCTCTAAAAAAAATATTGCTTCAATTTACTCTCCTCTTCTTGTGTCATGTGAACTCGCATTAATATAGTCATTCGAAAACTCCTGCAAACGCAATATTTCAGGGCACTTGAAAAAAGAAACATTACTTGGTTCTTCATAATGATTTTCCACTTTCGTTTTCTTTGTCTGAAACTAGGCAGCAACATACATACTTTGAACAATGCACTTTCTTGTTTCTGATTTGTGTATGATGTAACATAACATCTTGGAAGGTGGCCGTCAGGGTATGTTCTCACGATCTTGATCTCCGCCACAGTGGAACAAAGGCCTGGTCTCTTTTTTTATCAATATGTCCTTAGGGAAGACAGAAAGAGAAGCCCTAACTTTTCTTTTTTTCTTATAGGCAGCAGCAGGGAATGCTGTGTAAACTTGGCAATAGAGGAAAAGAAGTTATACGTCAGCAGGTAAATATAACATGGAGAACAAGTGGAACATCAAAAAGCATGGACAGTTGCACAGAGATAATACCACTCCTGAAAAATGGAAAACCACTATGAGAAGTAAAGAGCTATCGTCCAGTATCACCAACACAGTGCATCAGTGAGTTTGCTGGAAGAATAATAAACAACCGCTTCTACTTTTACCCGGAGAAAACCAACAGCTTGAAACCACACCACGAGGGCTTCAGAAAAGGTAACACAGAAGACCAACTTGACTAATTAACTAAAGACATCCTGGATGACTTTCGGGGGGCAAAACATACTGTCGCCGTCTTTGTAGACCCCGACAGGTATGCGATAGAGTGAGGAGAATATGCCTGCTCATAGAAATTATGGAAATCCGTATACATGGCAAGCTGTTTAAATGATTCAAGTTTTTCCTTGCAGACCGAAATATCAAAACAAAGGCGAACTATGCCAACCAGCCAAGGGGGGTACTCGATGAAGGCCTACCCCAAGGTTCCTGTGTGAGTTGTCCTTTGTTTTTGGCACATAGAGAAATCGGAGAAGACTCTCTACGCTGATGATCTAGCCCTCTGGCTGCACAGCAGTGGGAGCAGGGAAATTTAATAAAGGCCTGAAGAGGCTCCACAGAAATAAATTACACAACAAGAGTGTGCGCCATCTGTACAGAGCCTCAAAATAGCAAATGAAAAGCTCCAACTGAAAATAGATAATGAGAACCTCTCCAAAGAAAAACAACCAACAGGGGTTGAATTTGGTTCAAAATATAACAATGAAAAGCCTTAGGGAGAGCGTAAAGAACAAAGCAAAGAGATGGCTCCAACTCTAAAAGAAACATGCAAGCAGTTAACGGAGTTCAGACTAACAAACTCTGAGAGCTCTGTACCTTGGATATGTCCGATCTGCTCTGGAATATAGCAATAGCCTACTCACTCTGTCCTGTACTGTTTTACAATCACTTGTTACAACCTTGACAAAGTCCAGAATAATGCCCTTCGTTTCACTAACGGTATCATGAGATCCACGCTTACTGCATCATGTGAAATATTTTCAAATGTAGGGCCCCTGGAAATCAACAGAGATAAATCAGCCTTTGAGATCCACGAAAAAATGTAATGTGCCTCAACCACTCAAAGAACACGTCGGTGCATAGAAACCAGAGAAACGACTTCAACAAAAGCAACCAAAAATCACATCACAGAACTAATGGATAGTCATTATCATACAATTACAACAAATCTCAGATACAAAAGCACAACATTTACAGAATCAGTGACGCCGATGCTTGCATCATATAAAACATCGACAGCTGTTCAAACAAGTTGATTCACCTGTATACAGACGGCTCAGCATTCAAAGACACAGCCAAAGCTGGATAGGGAATACATTTTCAATTCCCAGGCAGAAGTTTCTGCAGCCTGTGGAGAGAAATTCAGCAGCAGCGATACAAAAAGGATAGCAATTGAAGCAGCGCTAAACCATCTTTACATAGTAATACTTTTTGGCGATCATCCTGCCAAAGCACAGAGTGTTGTGGTTTTCATTGACTCGCTTTCAGCTATACAAGCATTAGAAAATGACCATCATCAAAATCAAGATCTGACACATAAACTGTTCAGTGGGCCTGATGTCTTTCTGATTTTCAACACTTCGGCTATTTCTTGTGCTGAGATCTTCATGTTAATTTCAGAACCCTTTTCACTGCCCATCCGATTTCCTTCCCGCTTTCTCCAAAAGCACAACCCTTTTTGTTCTTGTTCTTGTTCTTGTTCTTCTTCTTGTTCTTGTTCTTGTTCTTGTTCTTCTTGTTCTTCTTGTTCTTGTTCTTGTTCTTGTTCTTGTTCTTGTTCTTGTTCTTCTTGTTCTTGTTCTTCTTGTTCTTGTTCTTGTTCTTCTTGTTCTTGTTCTTGTTCTTCTTGTTCTTGTTCTTTTTTCCCCTTCTTGTTCTTGTTCTTCTTGTTCTTGTTCTTCTTGTTCTTGTTCTTCTTGTTCTTGTTCTT